TGCTTAGTTTTTTCTCTTCCCACCACTTTCCTGTTTCAATGCTCCCTTTCCTTGAAGGGTGCAAGTGCAAAATTAGATGAAGGGAGGAACTGCAAATAGAAAAGTGGCCAGAGGGAAAATGATTTAAGTAGCCCTACAAAGTTTTCCATGCTTTCTTAACCTAGAATACTTCTTAAGACTGTTTTAGAGAGGGAAAGCCTTAAAACAATAGGAGAAATTACACACAACTGTATGTAATATTTAGCTTGGTCCTTAGCAACACGAACAACTGACTCCTTCCATCTTGTAACACGTAATCTCACTGGATGAATTTACCTCCCTCATCTCTGTCTGGTGGGACTGGGAACAGCAATTGCATCACCAAAGTGTTTCCCTGCCTTTTGATGGCCCTTAGTTTTGTGTGTGAGCATGTCAGCAGGAGAGAGATCAGCTCCCTTCTGCACGTGAGCGGTTCAGTTTGCACACCTAATATTAATAGTGACTCAGTCTAGAACCCAAGCCCTTGGCCTCTTCCACCTGCCTTGCCTGTATCTTCATTTGCACTTTATGTTAACCAACCCTCCCTGGCCTGTGGCTGCTACAGTAATGGAACAGTGTGTTGTGGGTTCAATACCATCTATTGGCTGCAGGCTGCACGGGCTACTTCAGGGAGCAAGGCTGGTGCTGCCTCCCTTGGTTTCCAGCCTTGCATAAGCAAAGATTGTAATCTTAAAGACTGTACCTTTTCTCATTGGCGCAACAAAATAAAAACATTTCTTCATGCCACCATTTTCTCTTAGCCAACTTTGGGGTTGGTTTGGTAGGAGGATATAGTAACAGCTTTTTAGTTTGTGGAAACAACATGGGATTCTGGCCTGTTGTTGAGACAACCCATTATTTCAACCTGGAAAGTTGAGATCCAAGAACAGGACTGCTTTCTATTAAGGTTCAAAACATTTCCTTGGTTCAAGCTCTGTCTCTCAAATGGTCCGGTCGAGATGTCTGACTCGGTATCCCCCAAGGCAGGTCCTGTACTTCTAAACTCCTCATAAATACCAAGTTAAAAAATGCACATTGTCAAAAACAAATGGGCACCTTATGATTAAGGAGTCCCCGGTGACGCAATGGGTTAAACCCCTCTGCCGGCAGGACTGAAGGCCGACAGGTCGCAGGTTCAAATCCGGGGAGAGGCGGATGAGCTCCCTCTATCAGCTCCAGCTCCTCATGTGTGGACATGAGAGAAGCCTCCCACAAGGATGATAAAAACATCAAATCATCCGGGCGTCCCCTGGGCAACGTCCTTGCAGACAGCCAATTCTCTCACACCAGAAGCAACTTGCAGTTTCTCAAGTCGCTCCTGACACGACAACCCCCCCCCCAAAAAAACCCTTATGATTAATGCTGTGGTAAGCTAATGCCCCCAAAATTACCTGAACCCTCAGCTTAAAAATGTGATCTGCATCTCAGTCGTTTGGTATTTTATCTAGCGGAAGTTAGCGGCTCTTTGTAGCCTCTGTTGCAATGCTTCGGATACAACAAATCTACACATGATACGATTGCAACTATTGTGTACTCTCTTCAGCCTTTTTCCTGCTTAGCCTTGGAACCAAGTGAGCTTTCGATTGTTGTTCTAGCATGAGTACAAATAACATTCCCCAGAAGCTTATGTTTAGGCAAGTGGTTCCCAACCGTTTTTTGACCAAGGATCACTTGGACCAGGGACCACTTTCCAACATTAGTACCAAAAGAGTTACGAATCAGTTTTTGGTCAACTTTAGATTCAGTTTGTTTATTTAGGGTGCTGATTCAGAAAATTGCACTGGATAGACCATATAAGCTCTAGTTTCTGATACAGAACATATGCCATCTCGTAGTCACCATCTGCTCGCCCATAGTAAACCATATTTAGTAATCTGGAGCCGATATGGTAGTAGCAATCTTTCGTGGGTAGTCACCCTCTCCCCTCCCGACATCCCCATTGCCTCGGGACTATAAAAGGGTTTTGTGAGACCAATCACTCTCATTGCTGCATCGTTTCGAGGCAATGGGGTAGTAATGGTGAGGTGGCGGACCATATTTTTGTGCTTGGGAACCACTGGCAGTCCACAGGCCACAGGTTGGTAACAACTGGTTTAGGCAGTATAAGGAGGAAATCCTAACACCAAAAGTAGTTTATAATTGCTAATGTAGGTGATTTTTTTATTAAGCACAGTGATCAAACTAAGTGTGATTTCAAACAGCATAAATCCTCCTTCTGTTACCAAAAGTGAAGGTGAATGAGCTGGGGAAAATTTTATTTTTTAATAGTAAACCAGGATTTACAGGCCTACTGAAGATATTAGAGCAGTGGTTCTCAACTTGTGGGTTCCCAAGTGTTTTGGCCTACAACTCCCAGAAATCCCAGCCAGTTTTCCAGCTGTTAGGATTTCTGGGAGTTGAAAGCCAAAACAGGCTCAGTGCTATGTGCATACATTCAGTCTCCTGAAACACAATGAGGCTAATTTCTGAGTAGTCTAGAACTTAGAATATCCATAATTCTGGAAGTTATGGTCCAAAACGAGCTTTTCCAAACATGGGTCCCCAGGTGTTTTGGCCTATAACTCCCAGAGATCCCAGGCAGTTTGCCAGCTGTTAGGATTTCTGGGAGTTGGGAGTTGAAAGCCAGTGTATCTGGGGACCCACATGTTGAGAACCACTATATTACAGGCTCAGTGCTATGTGCACACACTAAGTCTCCTTAAACTCAATGAGGCTAATTTCTGAGTAGTCTAGAACTTAGAATATCCATAATTCTGGAAGTTGTGGTCCAAAATGAGCTTTTCCAAATGTTGAAGATGATAGGTAAAGACTTTACCTAAAGATAGGTAAAGAAAGTGAAGAAAATGCTATTAATACAATTTTGGCACACAGGTGCCATTTTTTCCTTTGCAAAAGAAAAGACATAATTAAGAGCAATGTGATTCTGACCATATTTATTTATTTATTACTGTTGATGACCAGCACCAAATATGCTAGCCATGGATTTCCAGTCCTCTGTGGATAAAAAGAAGTAATTGCATTCAATACATCCTCCTCCCACCCCTCAATACATGCTCAAAACTACACAGGAAAGAAGTCTCATACTGTTTTTCTCTTTTTTCAATTTCCTCTCAGTGAAATCTCTTTTGCTATGTTATTTTTCTTTGCTTCTTCAACGCCATTCCTCCTACCTGAGCAATCTTCCAATCACTACAGTTGGTCTCAAAAGCGTCTCATCCACAAAACATTTAACAATTACTGTAGAGTTCAATAGAAATTTGGCATCTTTCACCAAGCATTATGCTGCCTTAGTTTATCCTCAGGTTTGTATATCTATCAAAGACACTTTACACAGGGCAATTAATACCACATGGCTCGTTGATATAACTAATAGCACTTCCTTGTCACACGGCCTCGCAGATAGCTTGCCAAACTGCCCATCAGAGTATCTACAGAATAATCTGTCATGTAGATGCTACTGTTGTTGTTGCTGTGGAGTTGAGTGCTGCTGCCAGTGTAATCATTACACTTTGAGACAGGGGACTCAGAGTGATTTAATCCACTACACTGGAATGGTGATTGGTTTATTAGAGATCAAGTAGTAGCCATCAACAAAACCCTTATCCCTACTAGTACTGAAGATAAACTACTAGTATTTGGAAACTTTGCAGAACAGAAAAGCACTGCACTTCCAGGCAAGTGGGTCTTGCTTGCAGCACCAATATTTCCAAAGCTTGACACTTCATATTATTTGAGAACACAGAAATGCTGGACCACTCTCACAACCACCATGTCAGACTACACAGAGAAGCCATTGAAATCCACAAGCATGTGGACAATTACAACAGAAAGGAGAAAACCATGAAAATGAACAAAATCTGGCTACCAGTATTAAAAAGTTCAAAAATCAGGAGAGTAAATAAAAAACAACACTCAAAAAACGGGAATTTCAGATATAAATCAATCAGGGCCAGCTAACACCTCCCAACAAATGATCCCCCAGGCAGCAATCAGCCAGGCTTTGAAGCTACAAATGCTATTAAATGCTAATTGAGGTGGCCAATTGCAAAATTTACACTTGCCTGTCTTCTACCCTGGACATTACAGAGATATATAAACCTTACTTGCCTAGTTTCCAACAGACCTCACAACCTCTGAGGATGCCTGCCGTAGATGTGGGTGAAACATCAGGAAAGAATGCTTCTGGAAAATGGCCATATTACCTGGAAAACCCACACCAATCCAGTGATTCCGGCCATTAAAGCCTTTGACAGCACACTTGACACTGCACTTTACAGTTGTGGATGGTGGTTTCCTTGTGAGCAAATTGGTGAATCTGCTCCATGTTTAATGAATTTTAAACAAGGCACATAAATAAGGAACAAGGCCAATTTGGGGAAAAGGTCTCCTGGATAACATCTTTATAGTTTGCACTATAACCTAGAGCACATTCACCACCCCACTGACCTGGAGGCCACTAGCAACTACCCTCAGTTTGCTTCCAATGATCTTGTCCCACACATTAGAACAACTCTTGGGAATAGTATCACATTGCTAAAGAAGAATTAAGACTGAAGATTTGCAAACTGGACAAACTGAATGGCTCTGGTGTGGCAATGGCTGAAAACAACTAAGTAATGGGCTGAAGAACAGTTTGCTTTCTTAATCTGGCTAGAGGTTGAAACCAACGTCTGTTGCAAACACACACAGAGTACTGCATTCCTCAGGCTGATTGGCAGGAGGACTTTGCTGAAAGGGTATTAGCAGTGGGAAATTTGGGAGGATTATTCACATGTGACCCAACTAATTAATGACAAACAGAACTGAGTGAAATTGAATGTTATCCCTCACTTCAACTTTCTCCTAATGCTAAAAAAACCGAAATGCTGCAGCCTTCATAGGTTTTCTTTCTTTAGAATTCCCAAGAAACATATATATTTTTTAATTTCTCCCTCCTTCCATCTCTCAAATACATGCTTAAAATGACACATAAATGAGACTGGTTTAATGTAAAACAAGAACATTTTATTTCTTCCTTACAGACACTTGCTGTCAATACTTCCTCTGCTCTGAACTGACCTGACTTGGGGGTCAGGTTTCTTCGAAGGCCACACATCCATGTCTGTCATGTCCAGAGTTCCCAGGTGATCAGTGCATTCATCTGCCCTTCAGAGTGCCAGCCCCAAGCCAGTTGGTGCTGGTTACAGATACCAATGGGTCTGGGGCAAATTTGGATAACTGTCAGGTGTACATGAATACAGAGAGTGTATGGCGTGAGGTGGTTGCTGCACTAACATGCACTGGGGTCCTGTTTCTGGACCATGCAAAAGGAAGGACGGGCACTTCCAACAGGAAGGGGGGCTGGCTGGGTGACTGCCCCCCTTCCCTTGGGCATTTGACCCACGGAAGCTGTGGTGAGATGGTGAGATGCTGCCCTGCTACGCTACCCACAGGGGCCGCACACACCCTTGATGGGGTTTCCATCTTTCACTGAGCCGTCCTGCTCAGCTCTCTCCATGTGCTGGTGCCACCTCTCAAGCTCACAGGGCTGCTGTCTGGCTCTCAAGCCCTAGAGGTAGGGGATAGTTGATGTGAGAGAGAAGCAGGTGCCACCACGCACACATGGATCTTGTCACAGTTGGCTGTCATGCTGCAGACCTGGGAGAGAAAAACACTGGTTCAGCAACATCCCCCTGCATATGGCTCTTGGCTTTGGCCACAGTACTTCATGGCCTCCTGTACTGATAGGACATGCCTAGATCCCTCCCAGTGCTTTCTCTTTGCTCTAAGAGTAAATAGCACTTCTAGTTTACCCCTATTCATATGTGCTGACAGGCTGCTTGGTGATCATTTGAAAGCACTGGGAGGGTCAGGGCAAGCTCCTGACCGTCAGCCCAGCTCCTTGCCAACCTAGCGGATCGAAAACAGCAATGTGAGTAGATAAATAGGAACCACATTAAAGAAAGCTCTTTGGCAAGCAGATGGAGCGACAGCACCCCCCTGTGGCTGGAACCGAGCACAGCCTCCAAAGATGCCAAAAGATGGGAAAGCCTATACACACACACACACTTCTCTATCTGTTGTTTGTCTTGTCATTGTATAATCAGCATTGAAAGTTTGACTTATATGTGTTCTGTCATCTGCCCTGAATCCCCTTTGGCGTGAGAAGGGCGGAATATAAATAATATAAATAAATATATAAAAAGCCACAAGGGAAGCAGTTATTAACTGTGGGATTCATGAATTAGTAGTTGTGGTTTTAAAAGTGTATATATTATTGTTTAAAGGGAATAGACTCACAAAGAAACTGAGTAGGCTTTTTCTAGTTGTTTAACTGTAAGTGTAGAGCATGTAGCTGTGTAATCTTGCTAGTTTTGCACATATGTTTCTGTGTTTCATTTTGTGTTTTTCATTTTGTGTTTACTGAAGTATCATGTACCACTTCAGTGCTAATTCTGCACAGAAAGGGAGTTTATGGCCAACGGAAGTATTCAACAGAAGGTTCATGGAAAAAGATGCCCCTGATATTTATTAAAACAGCAATGTGATTGCTTAGTAAAGCTTTTAGGGATCCCTCAAGAAATACAAACCCGCACAGAAACAAGAAGGTCGTGCTGTGCATGCACTTGTGGAAAGAGACTAAGGAAGAGACTGGTGCTTCCAGGCAAAAGGCAATGAAGACCACTAACCTGTGGGAGAAGCAAAGTCATGTTGCCACTCATGTGATGAGAGGTGTGAAGTTAGTATTGTCATCTGGACTCTTTTCACTGTCTGCTGATGGCTGTCTTCTCCTCTCACCTGCAACATCAAGAGGGACAAGGTTGAGGGTCGGCACTGTTATTGGGAGATGATGTTCTGTTTCAAGGGCCAACATGACTCACTGGGGGAACATAACAGCTTTCAGCAGCCCTCCCTCCCTTGTCAGCACAATGCCATGTGCCAGCACAATGCCATGTGTCAGCACAATGCCATGTGCTTCTAACAATTCTAGTGAATCTGAGGCATCGCTTGAGCATTTGCTAATACTTATTATTTATTTATTATTTATTTACAGTATTTGTATACCGCTTTTCTCACCCCGAGGGGGACTCAAAGCGGTTTATACATAAGTAATGGCAAAAATTCAATGCCAGTACAAACAATTACAATTATACACTACAATTAGACATAAATCAAATTAAAAAATACATCCACGAGCAATAAAACAATAATTAAAACAATAAAACAGTCTTGTCCATCGAATAACCATTCCAGTCATTGTCTTTCCGAAATGCTACATACATTTACTTCTACTGCCCGGAGGCCTGGTCCCAAAACCATGATTTTAATTTTTCCCTAAAAGCCAGGAGGGAGGGAGCTGATCTTATCTCATTTGGGAGTGTGTTCCATAGGCGGGGGCCACAGCCGAAAAGGCCCTGTCTCTCGTCCCCACCAGGCACATCTGTGCTGTTGACGGGAGCGAGAGAAGGGCCTCCCCGGATGATCTTAGATTACATGGTGGGACGTAGGGGTGGATGTGTTTGGACAAGTAAGCTGGGCCAGAACCGTATAGAGCTTTATACTTTACATATACTTTACATATATCAAGTGGCCCACAAAGCATAAATATGGGCAAATTGGAGAGTTTATCCATATGTGGCAGGATTGAGATAAGCTACAACATTTCTACAAAAAGTTTTTTTACAAAAAATGTCTACAGAAAGCATGTGATGGAAGAATTATTAGGTAGAAGAATTGAATTAAACAAAAAAACTACCCAACAATTGAAGGTAATGGGAGAAATAAAGACCAGATTGAAATTGCAAAATATTATGATAGCAACTATCCAAGCAACAGTTGCCTTAGGATGGACAGATGAAGAGAAATGGGAATTTTAAAAATGGTTCGAATTTTTAATCAGAGTATATTTTTATTTATTTATTTACAATATTTATATACCGCTTTTCCCACCCCTGGGGGAACTCAAAGCAGTTTGCATAGAAATAATGGCAAAATTAAATGCCAAATAATATAAACTATTGAGTAGAGTCATAACTGTTCCTAGAGTGAGGGGGGAGGGAGGAAGCGGGAGGGGGAAATGGATAGGTATAAGTCATAGATATATAGAACTGTAAAGGATATAATATCATCAATAGAATGTATTATATGAGGTAAAAATAACCATAGAATCATAGACTTGGAAGAGACCTTGTGGGCCATCCAGTCCAACCCCCTCCCAAGAAGCAGGAAAATCACATTCAAAGCATCCCCAACAGATGGCTATCCAGCCTCTGTTTAAAAACCTTCAAATAAGGAGCCTCAATCACACTCTGGGGCAGAGAGTTCCACTGCTGAACAGCTCTCACAGTTAGGAAGTTCTTCATAATGTTCAGGTGGAATCTCCTTTCCTGTAGTTTGAAGCCACTGTTCTGCATCCTAGTCTTCAGGACAGGAGAAAACAAACCTGCTTCCTTCTCCCTATGGCCATCATGTCTCCTCTCAGCCTTCTCTTCTTCAGGCTAAACAAGACCAGCTCTTTAAGCCATTCCTCATAGGGCTTGTTCTCCAGACCCTTGATCATTTTAGTCGCCCTCCTCTGGACACATTCCAGCTTGTCAACATCTCCCTTCTATCCGGTACCCAGAATTGGACACAACATATCATTGTTTAGATGCAACTGTGACAATGTCACAAATTACTTACATCGAACCAAATTTTAAAACTGGCCCACAAAGCCAAGGGAGTTTGGCACCAATAGCCAGGACAGCATACCTATATATCTTAAATTCATTATATATAGCATAGCCATTCGATTCTATTAATCACTCCAGGGACTATGACTCACTGAGGGTCCGGAGTAACTTCTTGCCCAGGGGTTCTTCAGGGCCACTTGGGGATGTGGTGAACTCCATTTCTCTATTTGAGGCCTCAGGTTCCAGCCTGACAATGTAGCCCTCGTTTTCTGCAAAGCAATAAGGGTTGACATTAAAAGTAGAATCTGTTCTTCCATCATGGGCTTCTCTTTTTGTTCTTACCATCCCCAAATGTCTTCACTGCCCCAAAAGCACTCACTTTCTTGTCTGTTAGTTTCTGTGCTGCCTAGCAACTCCTCTTGGATGTGAGGGATTCCCTCCATGTGCAGGAACACAGAGTCTGTGGGACTCTTGAGATGCCCATCTGAGTGGCTAACTGCAGGACACAGGTGGAGTAAAGACAAAAGGAAAGGCATAGGGTATATCACATATTAAGAATCCTCTGCTTACTTTACACACTCCAAGTAAGCGCATATAAATGAAATCACCACTACCACAAGCAAATATCCAACTTAAAACCTCTTCTCATTTGACTTGATTTTAACACACTTTAATAATAATAATAATAATAATAATAATAATAATAATAATAATAATCACCACCACCATCATCACCATCATTTTTATTTATAGCCTGCCACCATCCCACCATCTCCCAAAAGGGACTCGGGGTAGCTTACAAGGCACTACAAATGCAATATATAACATAAACGGTACATAAACAGTATAAAAACAATATCACATAAAGTTATAAAAACAACCACTATGAACACATAAAATAAATAAAAACACAGTTTAAAATCCAGGCCATCTGTAGTTCAAACTAGATTGTGAGTTCAAATTCACAACTAAAGTACCAGTGTCAACCTCATGCAGGCCCATTTCAGCCTACTCGTAGCCAAAAGCCTGCTTAAAAATCCATGTTTTTAGGCTGAATCAGAAAGAGTCAAGGGTGAGGGCTAACCTAATCTATTTTGAGAGGGTATTCCAGAGTCGGGGAACCACTACAGAGAAGGTCCTTTCTCTCGTCCCCACCAACCGCACTTGAGACGGCGCTGGAACCGAGAGAAGGGCTTCCCCTGCTGATCTCAAAGCACGCACCACCGCATAGATATGTGGTATTGAAGATAGGTTGGACCCGAAGTGTGTAGGGCTTTGTAGGTAATAACTTGCACCTTGAATTGGGTGTGGAAAACTGTCGGAAGCCAGTGGAGCTGCTTAAGTAGGGATAGTATGCTCCCTATAACTAGCTCCAGTTAGTAATCTTGCAGCCGATCTTTTTACTAACTGCAGTTTCCAAACCATTTTCAGAACAGCTTCACTTTGGCTGAGATCCTACATTACTGAGCACAGCATATTATGCTATGGTTCTCCTTACCACCAGGATTCATTCTACTCCATTCTACACCACAGCTGTCCTGAAGTCAAGTAGGAAGGAATTGGAAGAAGTGTCTGATTGTCACCCCAAAAGCCAGACACAATCTAATGACATCATCTGCCAAGATTCCCTGGATCTTTTGGTCTCAGCAGATGATGTAATTTATTTATAATGTCAAAAGTGAGTTGAGAAAACAGTTATAAGGTATAGAAAAACTACAAAGTTAAAGACTTGTTATGACTTGGAGTGCCTCTGGTGTCGTTGTAAGAAGGTCCTCCATTGTGTATGTGGCAGGGCTCAGACTACATTGTAGTAAGTGGCCTGTGTTTTGTTCTTTTTCACACTTGCATGTCATGGAGGTGATGTAATAATCCATGGGGACAGAGATAAGTGCTTCTCCAATACCCACCGTCTCCATCAGCCACTGGAGGGCTATGGAGGGATGATGTTGCAGAGGAATGCTAAATGCTGGAGGGAGCACTGGTCACTGGAGAGGAAGGGAAAGGACACTAACCTCTGCAATACACATGTAAGTCTACATAGGGACCACCAAACACAACGCCCAAACACGAATCAAGGAACATGAAAGGCACTGCAGACTACTTCAACCAGAGAAGTCAGCCATAGCAGAGCACCTGATAAACCAACCTGGACACAGCATATTATTTGAGAACACAGAAATGCTGGACCACTCTAACAACCACCATGTCAGACTACACAGAGAAGCCATTGAAATCCACAAGCATGTGGACAATTTCAACAGAAAGGAGGAAACCATGAAAATGAACAAAATCTGGCTACCAGTATTAAAAAAACTCTAAAATTACAATAGCAAAACAACAGAGGAAAACAATCTGGGACATCTAATCACCTCTCAACAAAAGATTGCCCCAGGCACTGCCAGGCCATCAAATGCTAATCAAGGTGGTCAATTGAAACATTCACACCTAGCTCCAGCAGACAAGAGTCCTTTGTCCCACCCTGGTCTTTCCACAGATATATAAACCCATAGTGCAGTCATGCTGGCCTGAAAATTGTGCAGTATAACAGTGGCAATTAATAAACACAATTATTTTGTTAGAACTTGTCTCAAAGTGCTTGGGAAACATTGTTTTGTATGACAGATCCCAGAGGCTCACAGCCAACACAGACAATGTAGGACTCCTGCTCAATACAGTAGTTCAAGAAAAGTAACTCTTCCAGGTCCTGATGCTGGCTCCACTTACCCAATAGGCTGCTTGGGTCGTGCAGTAGGAGGACAGGGTCATCCTTGGGGGTCTGTGGAGTACCTCTGGCTGTGGGAGCCTTTGTGGACTCACCATCGAAAGCCTCTATGTCAGGGGTCTGGGGGGAGCTGTCCATACGGCTAGCAGCAAGGGCATTCTGGTACTGTTGCCGAGTGATCTGTAGCATCAAGGCAGAAGAATCAGCTTACAGAGTTAAACCTTGTCCTGCCAGTTCAAATGATTCAGGCTCTTTAAATATCTGCCTTATTTTTAAAACATCCCCTCCTACACTCCACTTTACATCTTGGTTTTGGAGACACTTCTATTTCACCACAGCATCTCTCATTTTACATAATGCTGCAAATATCCTGGCTAACTGCGCCTAAACAAGTACCTAATGACTGGGAGTGAATCTGTTTGCAAATGCTCTGTAATATTTCCCTATTGCTATCAATTTCATTCTATAGTCTCCAGCCTATTTGACCTGTGGAGCCCTTTCTAGAATAAATATCTATGTGCACGAGGAGACAGGCTCCCCGCTCAGCCTTGTCGTTTGTCCATCTAGCGCAGTGGTTCTCAATCTGTGGGTCCCCAGGTGTTTTGGCCTACAACTCCCAGAAATCCCAACCAGTTAGGATTTCTGGGAGTGGAGGGCCAAAACACCTGGGGACCTACAGGCTGAGAACCACTGGTCTAGTGCTACAATAATTATGCAGCTAGAGGCACCAGAATGACCAAGAATCCTCTGCTAGAGGATGGGTGAAATTCAACTTGTCAAATTTCCATTCATAATGTGATTCCTAGTTTTCTCATTTTGATTCTACTTTTTTGTTTCTTACTCTTTAATTCAATTTTATTTATTTTATTTTCCTGGAGCAGCCGTGGAGCCTCTGGGAAGTGTACCTAGAGCCTTTAGGGTTTGGCGGAGCACAGGCTGTTGTGAGTTTTCTGGGCTGTATGGCCATGTTCCAGAAGCATTCTCTCCTGACGTTTTGCCTGCATCTATGGCAGGCTTCCTTAGAGATTGTGACCTCACAATCTCCGAAGATACCTTACATAGATGCAGGTGAAATGTCAGGAGAGAATGCTTCTAGAACATGCCCATACAGCCTGGAAAACTCACAACAACCCAGAGAATTCTAATATTTAGCAGGTATTGGTATCATATCATGCATTCTACCAAAATGTAACACTTACCACTATAAACCAGGCAACACAGCAAGGGAAAGGGAAATCTATTTATGGCAGCACAGTCAAAAGACTACATTGAACCACACTATTCTTGCCTTGGAAGGTTCAGATCTCATTGCCCAACAATTACAATTTCTGCAACACAGAGAGGAACGAAGTCCGTACCCTGTAATGCTGCTAAGCAGAAAGTTTGGATTTCACTAATGGACGAAAGAAATGCACAAAGCAACAAGATTTTAAAGGAAGCAAAGATTGACAGTAACAATGATACAGAGAGCAGAACTTGCACTCTACCATTAAAAAAATAAATAAATCTGCAAATGTTAAACCTGCAAACGTAGAGGGCCAACTGTATATCCTTTCAGATGCTTGATCAAACAGACAAGATAATCCCCACTGCAAAGGAATAGCAAAGTACGCTCCTACCACATTAATGGTATCAGAAAAGTTCATTTTTAGACAGGGGCAACCAATAGCAGGTGCTATAATCCCTAGGATTATAAAACATCCTTATTCTTCCCCCAAGAAATCTTCTCTAGTAGTTTAGAGATTTGTCTAGCAGCTTAGAGACTGCTAATAATTAAACCTCGCCATACTATATATCAGGCATGGGCAAACTTTGGCTCTCCAGATGTTTTGGACTCCAACTCCCAGAATTCCTCACAGCCGCAGGCCCGCTTAAGCGGCTGAGGGGGAAAAGGAAGGGGCCTGTGGCTGTGAGGAATTCTGGGAGTTGGAGTCCAAAACATCTGGAGAGCCAAAGTTTGCCCATGCCTGATATATATCCTTGCTGTTTCACCTTGCCGTGTTCAGTCTTTCTACTTTTGTCCATCTAACTCAATACTAGACAGGATTTACAACACCTCTTTCATGAATCTATCCCCAGACTCGTATATCAATCCAAGTCACACTCTTGTACAAAGGTAATTAATACGTGACTCAACAGTATAACAAATAGCACCCGCTTCTACCTTAACGAACTGCACATCACAGAGTATGTGGACAGAATAATCTGGCGTGTAGATGTTGTTGTTGCTGCTGCTGTGGAGTTGGGTGCTGCTGCCACCGTAGTCATTGCGCTCCCTGATGGGGGACTCAGAGCGGTTCAATCCACTACAACGGGATGGCGACTGGTTCACTAAGGATAAAGAGGTGGCAGTGAGCAAAACCGTTATTCCTGCTGCTCCTGAAAATAAAATACTAACATTTGGGACCTTTGAGAGACAAAGCACTGCATTTCCAGGCAAGTTTGTGTGAAGATTGCAGCACCAATATATCTAAAGCTTGATATTTCAATAGCGGTTGGTGATTTTGATCTCAAACTGGTGAATCTGCTCCATGATCCCATCTACCACTGTCCATTAATACAGTTTGCTACCTATACAAATTGCCTCCAGTACCAAATTTTCAGTTAAGTAAAGCTGAGACAACATTGACCTCCATAACTGAGGTATACCTATACATACCATACACATGATGTCTTCTCTTTCCTTCTACCTCTTGGCTCCCTTTAATCCAGTGTTTCTCAACCTTCCCAATGCCATGACCCCTTAAAACAGTTCCTCATGTTGTGGTGACCCCCAACCATAAAATATTTTTGTTGCTACTTCACAACTGTAATTTTGCGACTGTTATGAATTGTGATGCAAATATCTGATATGCAGGTTGTATTTTCATTCACTGAACCATATTTGGCACAGATACTCAATATGCCCACATTTGAATACTGGTGGGGTTGGGGAGATTGATTTTGTCATTTTGGAGATGTAGTTGCTGGGATTTATAGTTCACTTACAATCAAAGAGCATTCTGAACTCCATCAATGATGGAATTGAACCAAACTTGGCACACAGAACTCCCATGACCAACAAAAAATACTAGAAGGGTTTGGTGGGCATTGGCCTTGAGTTTTGGAATTGTAGTTCACCTACATCCAGAGAGCACTGTGGACTCAAACAATGATGGATCTGGATCAAACTTGGCATGAATACTCAATATGCCCAAATGTGAATACTGGTGGAGTTTGGGGAAAATAGACCTTGACATTTGGGAGTTGTAATTGCTGGGATTTATAGTTCACCTACAATCAAATAATATTCTGAACCCCACCAACTATAGAATTGGGGCAAACTTTCCACACAGAACACCCATAGCCAACAGAAAATACTGTTGGGTGACTCCTCTGATGCCCCCTCACGACCCCCATAGGGGCCCTGAACCCCAAGTTGAGAAACACTGCTTTAATCAAACACTTCCTATTCTTAACGTCTTTTGTAGTTTCTCTCACCCTGTTTTTGAACATTCTCTCTTCATTTCATTGCACTACATTTCAAGCTGTTTACTGTTTATTTCCCTTGATTCGAACACTTTTCTTGTAATTTTATTATCAAATTATTCCTTCTACTTTACTTCAACTTTCCTTCTCAGGCACTCATGCCAATAAGAATAAAGATACCTGTGGCACTTTACAATATATTTTTATACCTGTCTATTCAGAAATAAGTCCCACTTCTTTCAATTACTATTTCATGGGATACGTAATAGAGCAGTGTTTCTCAGTCTGTGGATTCCCAGATGTTTTGGCCTACAACTTCCAGAAATCCCAGTTTACCAGCTGTTAGGAGTTCTGGGAGTTGAAGGCCAAAACATCTGGAGACCCACAAGTTGAGAACCACTGTAATAGAGGATTGAAGTCTTCAATTTGTTTTTGTGTACTTTCAAATGTTTTCCAACTTATAGCAACCTTGTGGCGAACCTATCATAGGATTCTCTTGGAACGATTTGAGACTGAGAATGTGATTTGCCTAATGTCGGCCACTAGATTTCCATGGCTGAGCAGGGATTCAAACTTTAGTCCCTAGAATCACAGCCTAATGCTCTAACCATGAAGCCATACTGCTTCTAAAAGACTGAGGCTCACCTATCCCATACAATTTATCTCAGAGCAAATGTTCTCCTGGGATAGCTCCAAATCCAGGGCCGTGATTTACACTGCCAGGGAATGCAATTGCTCCTCTAGAAGGGTGCACAACTCATCTATTCCATGTCACCACTGCCCCTTTTAATTGGCCAGAATTTCATGAGAGCTCAAAGGTTGTTGTGGCTGCCTCTGTTGAGATCAGAAACACAGTGGCCACACAATCTGAAAAAGGGGTGATTCCCCCTCCTTCTTCCTGATTGTACGGGAACTTTGTTCTGATGTGAGTATAGAAGATCGCAACAGCTACATGTAATCATGGAGCTCCATGGCTAGCTTGGAGAAGCAGCAGTGGTGGTGACAAGATCATGACCCACCCCCATTTTCCAACACTGATAAATGCAGGGAAAAGGTGATGGCATCAGTGTCTCATGTGGACAGCAGATCTTGCTGAATTGGACCAAATACAGCTCTCCAGCCTGCTCCAAAGCTGTGGGGCACAATCGTTTCCAGCAAAATGCAAAGCATCCCCCAACTTTGCCCAATGAGTAAATATGTAGATAAAGCTTATTGCAACCTTACCGGAACTAAACAAAATTGAGGCTGAAGGATCCAATTCTAAACTCACTGATCTAGGAATAAATGCCACTGAAATCAATGGGATATACTTCTGAGTGACATGGATAGGCTTGCAGTTTGAATGACTATGTTATGCAAGAAGTCATGGAGACCAGACTCTATTAGGTTAAGGAACTTCTCTTATGGGAAAAATGACTACACTCAGTTTCTTAATGCTTTCTAAAGTAAAGGTAAAGCTTTCCCCTGACATTAAGAAAAGTCATGTCCAACTCTGGGGTGTGGTGCTCATCTCCATTTCTAAGCCAAAGAACTAACGTCGTCCATAGACACCTCCAAGGTCATGTGGCCAGCATGACTGCATGGAGCACCATTGCCTTCCCGCAGAAGCAGTTCCTATTGATCTATTCACAGTTGCATGTTTTCAAACTGCTAGGCTGGCAGAAGCTGGGCCTAACAGCAGGAGCTCAGCCCACTCCCTGGATTCGAACTGCCAACCTTTCGGTCAGCAAGTTCATCAGCTCTGCAGTTTGTCCTGCTGCAGCACAAGGGGTCAAATGCTTTCTCTCCTACCTCAAATTCATAGTATCAGAATCCCTGGATGTTTGTGTAAACATTAAATCCAAAGTTTTCATGCCCTTTCTACCAAGTAGGAAGATCTCTCTTCCACATGGCTCCATACAGGTTATCAAAATGAAAAATCACATAGAGCTGCAACAGTCAGCCTCAAACCCATCTGGTAAGCAGATATATCCCTGGACTCACAAGGGTTTAATCTTTGTAAGGACCCGGTTTTTGTTTGTACACATTAACAACACATATACATCTCTGTATGTAACATATCTCCTGTATATGTCAAACATGAGAAAGTGACAATCTCTGGAGCACCAGGTAAGCACACTGCTTTATGACTGCTCAACAACAGCAAACACGTATAGCTGTGTGGAAGCACTGCACATGCAGCAGAATTCAGTGTCAATTTCGCATGCATGCAGGACAGCACAAAGTGTATTCTGGAGTATTCCGGATTGGGGAAAGGAATTACAGAGAAGCACATGCCCAGAATCATAACGCAGCAGAATGGGAACCTTGCCAGGTATAATATATACAGTTACCTGGGGAGCCAGCCAAAGATTCCCCTCTGCTGAAGGCGGAAGTTCGGGACATGGATACAGGCACTAGAGAGGACCGGGATTGGGGGAGGAGGAGCAAGGGAATGTATTTTAGCAGGAAGAGAGACTGAACTAGGTCAGGCAGACAAGAGTATGGCAGTTTCGTAGTGCCCCTAAAAGTGACAAGTAATCTGTCACTGGTTTGTAATAAAAGATATGCCTTTTCCCCTCTATCAAGGGAATGTATAAAAGGATCAATTAGACATTTGCTGTTAGATGCAGGAAATGATCTGTTGGTCTTCTTCAGTTAGTGGCTCCTGGTGGTTCCATGTCATAGAATCATAGAGTTGGAAGAGACCTCATGGGGCAACCCCCTGCCAAGAAGCAGGAAAATTGCATTCAAAGCGGCCCCGACAGATGGCCATCCAGCCTCTGTTTAAAAGTGAAATGTCAGTGAAATGGTGAATCCATTCTGATTTTCATTTCAAATTATGAAGGAGATATACAAAGTGATGGAACTGTTTTGGGGTCCCTGGAGAGCTCCTCTAAAGACAGGCTAAAAAGCATTTGAGCATCAGCTGCCACTTTCCTTAAGTGCCTGCAGCTTTTAAATATTACTTCATAAAACCATCTCCTGACTATTGAGATTTAGGAGGAAAATGTGAACACACCACAGCCCCTGTGACATGATTGGTTTCCGAGTGCCACCCACAGTCATCTCAGGAACACAATATGTCACTTCACAACCTCATGTTTGGTCTCATGAAAATGGGAAAACTGGATTTAATAAATGCTTTATGAGCATTTATAAATCCAAGATGCAACCCTATGCATCACCACTGGATGGCACTAAGAGCACACATGACGAAAGGCAAATAGCTGAGAAGCAGGGTTATTTTAGGGCATATACCAGAGTTTATGGACCAAAACATTAGGGATATAAATGTTAATTCAGTAGATGGCATTTACCAGCATTGAGCTTTATGACTTGGAGAAAAGGGGACATTGTGAACTGTGGGTACATATTCCATTTCCATAATACCGTTACTACTCATACCAGGAGTCAGTTCTAGTTTTTAAGGGCCCTGCACAAGACAGATACAAGCACACATGAGAGAAGATTGGGACTGGAGTCTGTTGCTCCTCTTTGCTACTTCTGAACTGGATGCAATTTTTGCTGCTTCTGAATTGGGTACAGCAACAAAAGTTGAACAAAGTTAGCTAAACCGAAGGTGATGACTGATAAAAGCTTACTGAATATATTTGGAAATGGCATCATAACCTGGTGAATTTGATTCAATTGGCAGAGCTAGAAAAGTAACTTTTTTGGGACCACAGGCAGTTTCAGACAGCACTAAATCACATGCTTTAGTCAGGGGCAAAAAATCCTGGGACCTGAGAAAATGTCCAGACACAGACCTATTGGTCCTGGGATTTCTGCCTCTGTAGTCCACACTTGCTGCTGTGTTGTAGGATTTTGCAGCCCCCAAGATGAATACCGTGGAACTTCTGCCAGAAATTTTGGCATGTTTTTTTAAAAAAGTTTAAGATACAAAGATGCAAATCATTGTATAAGTTTCATTACTGGGCTATATAAGCTGCAGGGCTATCTGTGCAGACAGGGTGTTGTTCCTGGGTTATACAGGTCTGTTCCCGATTGCTCTTATTCTCAAAAAATACACAACATTGACCAGGGGGGCACAACTTTGTCCTGGCCAGAGAAAATGTGCCCTCTACATGTTTCATGAATTTTCTGGCATACAAACAAAGTTTTTGCCTTCTACTCAACTGTCACATTCTTTTTAGGAACCAACTAATCAGGAACAGACCTGGGAACAAACCCAGATAAAAAATCCTGTGATTTCCAAGTGCAGGGACATACAGACATATGAAGATCCACATATCCTCAAAACCGAAATATTCCTGCACCTGGAAATCTCATGTTTTTTGCCACTCATAGCGATTGCTTCCGTGTTTACAGGGAATTGTGTTTGGCCACACTCCTCTGTTTCCTGCATGAGCTCCTGGGATAAAGGTAATGTCTGGACGGGCCCAACAGCTTCAAAAATCCCTCAACCATTATAGTCACTGGTGATTCCTGAGATGTAGTCCCAAAAGTGACCATCTCAAGCTGTGACATAGGCAGCTCCTGCTAGACTAGGAACGAAAAAGTTGAGAAATAAGGCAGAATTGGCAGGAAACCAGGTCTTTCATCCACAGACACCTGCTAGTTGGATCAGAGTAATCCCACTTGAAGCCACCCCTCCATATCCCCTCATTATGAAGAACAGAAGGGGTCAGAAGGGAGAAGATACATACACAGGACTGATGATCCAGCCAGGCTGCTCATTTTGCGAGCTTCGTTATCTGAAAATACAGTAGACAGATGCAAGGTGAGTCCCACTCAAAAGTTTGTTGTGCATCCCTTGTACTGGGAAAAGACACTTTCTCAAGAGATGAATGACAACCCATGCACCATCTCAGGCACAATATATCTTTATCTCTCAATCATTCTCTCGTGTAAGCTCTGGAACTATCTTTCCTTCTAACCTGTGACTATAACTTAATATTTCCCATGCATCAATCTTAGGCTAACACGGGTAAGGAAGGAAATTGTGCACTTTCTCACACACATAAATGTGGGGTACATCAGTCCAGGGGTTTATTCCATTCCTAAATAGAAGGAAAATCTATGGCCTAAATTCAATGGTTAGTCCAACATAATCACTGACATTTACATACTGCTGGTTTACTATTCAGCCATTGAGTCAACGAGACTATTTCCATTGAGAGTCTCAAAGAATTTCTCTACAAATACAAACAGAATGCTAGGACAACCTGAAGCCTACCAACTTTCCTTGGGACAGTTAACATTTTAGACTATGACTGGCCAGGCCGGTTGGAGGATTCTGGTAAAGTACACTTAGAAATGTATCTTTCTAAGCTATACCTAGCCTGCTTCACCATTTCCTCCACCAAGAATTATAAAATTGGAAGAGACCACAAACGTCATCCGGCCCAACCCATTCTGTCGCAAGAATGCACATTCAAAGTATTCCAGATAGATGACCCTCCAGCCTCTGTTTTAATACCTCCAAGGAGACTCCACTACATTCTTGAATTTATATATACCTACAGAGATGGTACAGAATGAAAAATCACCATAGAATTTGACTTCAGGATAACTTAAAGTCAAACTCAAAATATTGCTGTCTTATGACTGTAGGGGAGATTTCGGCTAAGTATAGACAATTTAACATGCTTTCCAATAGCTCAGGACAAGAGGCAAATTTTTAAAAAAATCATCCAGTAAGGTTTATTTCATATGTAATTGCCTTTGTGAGGCTGTCTTGAGTCCCCATCAGGATGAGAAGGGCAGGGTACAAGTGTGGTAAACAAACAAACAAATAAATAAATAATCAAATTACTTAATTTTTCACATTCTCCATCAATACTGTTAACAATCCACTTCAACTTTCTCTCTTTGTTTGCTCTTTGCTAATCTGCACTTTGTTAAAATATTGTTTTTGGTGGAAGTCCAAATCAAAAATCAGAATAATTTTTACAAATTTTGGCTGATTTATTTTGAACACTGAACCCCACATATTCTCATTCTCAGTAAAACTCAACTCAACCCATGAGATTCCTCTCAGCTCATTTGATGCCTTGCTCTGGGTTTTACCTGCACTGACTGCAGCCATGATGGCTGGAACACCATAGTATGTGAACGCTCCATTCTCAAAACGCAGTCCCTCCTTCCCCACTTCGACCTCCACTCTGCCCTGAAGAAACAAAAACAAAGAAGAATGGTACATATTAGGTAATTATCACAGGTGGTAAGATAAAAGGCCTATGTTCCTATTCAAACCTCTGGAGGTGAAGATCCTGTACAGCTGTTTCCATAGTGGTGGAGAGGGCAACACAATTCATAGAATCAGAGTTGGAAGAGACCTTGTGGGCCATCAAGTCCAATCCCCTTGCCAAGAAGCAGAAAAATCACATTCAAACAACCCCCAACAGATGGCCATCTAGCCTCTGTTTAAAAGCCTCTAAAGAAGGAGACTCCACCACACTCCAGGGCAAAGAGTTCCACTGCTGAACATCTCTCACAGTCAGGAAATTCAGTCTCCTAGAATTCTGGGTTTATGGTAGTCATCCTTGCACTTATAAATCTTCAAAGATAGGTGTACAAATATCTACCAGGACAACTGAGGTGTGCATGGCAGCTTCCCTTGGCCATATCATTTCTTTTTTTCTTTTTCTTTCTTTTTTCTTTTTGCTAGCAAAGTGAAACCACGCAACACAAACAGGAGCCCAATAGGATACCTATACTAAGGTGTCTCTTTATACTACTGTGGGGCAAGGGTAGGCAACTGCCAGGAGTTGAGGGGTTACCTTGGCCTTCAATGAGATGCTGACTACCCTCTTCTTGCAACTGAAAGAAAGTCAACTAGAAGTGAACTTTTTTCAACATATACACATGCAAACATGATTTTTAAGGGTGTGCTGGAGAACCCTGAGGCTACACTTTCCCAATTCAGGGCAATAGATATTTTCTCTATAAAAACATATCCCATTCTATATTACAGGCTCTCAGACACTATTGGGAGATAAAACCATATGTTCCTGTGGATTTCTGCTAGTAATCTTGACAAACCTGAAGGAGGAGTATAAAGTAGTCAACTGGCCGGTTGCGTTGATAGAGGTAGTGCTCAGGTGCTCGTTTGTTTTTGTGGTCGAATTTCATTTCCTGGATGACATTTGGATGTTTGAGCAGCCGAAGCAGGATCTTATCAGAGAGATACGGCATCTTGAAGGGCTCCACCTCTGAAAAGGAGGAAGGGGAAGGGAAGAAGTACAGATCTATGAGGAAGCTTGATGCCTTCTCTATGAACTTATATCAACCCAGGAAAGTGGTATGAAAATGCAAAGAGAGGGGAGGATTCCTCCAGCACAGAGACAGTAAGTGGGGATGGAGGCATGGTGCTGAAGGTAAAATGATACCCTCCCACTCCTTGTCATCCCTCTCCAGAAGAAACTAGAGCTCAAGGTAGTTCTCCAATGCACTGCAGTTCCCAGACAGGAGCTGGGGGTGCATCTACACTGTACAATAATTCTAGTTTGATAACACTTTAACTGCCATAGCTCAATGCAATGAAATCCTAAGACCTGTAGTCTGGTGAAGCACCAGCACTTTTCATTGAGAACAATATATACTTTAGAAAACTACAATTTCCATGATTCCATAGCACTGAGCCATTCAACCGCATAACTTCTTTAGTTAGTGCACCCCAAGACAGGAAGGCAGGGAAGTTGAAGTGAAGTCCTGACATTGAAACTGGATAGAATAAGGGGATAACTCCTTAAGGCAAGCAGCTCTCATGCTTGTCAACAGCACAGGACAAAGGCAAGGAGTAGTCAGAATAGCAGAAGAAAGGAAGAACATTAAGGAGAGCCAGATACCAGTAGCCATGAAGCGATGCGTGGCCAGCAGTAGTTGCGGAGAGATCTTCACCTTCATCTCACTATCAGAAAGCTGGAAGATGGAGAAGTCATGAGGTTTCCTACCTCGATGATGGTGTGCCCGCTCTTTCTTCTGATCGTCAGCTGAAGGTCAAGACAGCAAAGCTATAGTCACAGTACAAGTACTCGTGCACAAACAACACATACCATACATACTTGTATAGATGGTTCTCATGTAAAAGCTGAGGGCAAGTTTTGGGACTAAAATAATGGAATTTGCTATGATCTGTAGCTACACTGAGGGAAACAATTACAAATATTTTCCACTGCTTTTAAAAATTCATGAACGGAGGGTACTTAGGAAGAGCTAAAGAGATGTGGATTTGTTTTTGAGATACTGCAGTGCAGGGAGGGTAAAACTGCACCGTTGATCTTTAAATGTCTACATTTATAGAGACAGATAAAGAAAGGGATACAATAAGAATGTGGCATTACCACACAAAAAGGAGGGGGATGGGAAGAGCAAGGAAAGCAACTTGCCCTTATTAATGACTCAGTGTGAACATAGTGAGAAGATGGAAAGGCAAGAAGAGAAAGAACAGCAGCATCTTTCCTTCCTCACCATTTTTTCAGCTCAAGAGGGGTCTCTATTCCAGAACCAACCCAGGTTTTCTGGGGATGAGTTTTTGTCCAAAAAAAAAAAAAGACTTATACATGGGTATATACTGTATACTCATTCTCTTCTCTTTCCCCCATACTTGGGAACAAAGCTACTAAATTGTGTTTAACCTTGTCAAAACAATTTTATATGTCTTCTCCTTTGAAGGATCCTTGTTCTAGTATCTCCCTCTGTCATTCAGAAATTCTGGAATCTATCAACCAGAGTTTAAACCACTAACAAAACGGGCTAAGTGTAACCACAATTCTAAATAAACATGCATGGACTGGGACCGCATGCCACACTATTCCTTTTCATAAGTTAAAATAAAAAAATACCGTCTTAATAATAATATAATAATAATACACTTTACTTTTATTCCGCTTTATCTCCCTTGAGGAACTCAGAGTGGATGAAAAAAATACAATATACACATGAGGCAAACATTCAATGCCTTTTACACACAGTGAACAACAACATACAACACAGACAAAGGTAAAAGCCTTCCCCTTTTTTTCCATCTCCGGCGTCTGGAGGCAATGCTCAACTCCGGCCATGGAGAGGTGCTCTTGCTCCACTTTCCATGCCGAGGAGCCTGCTGTCCAAAGCCATCTCTGATTGTGTTGCCAGCATGTTTGCATATCTGTATGAGGCACCCCTTTACCTTCCCGCTGAGGCGGTACCTATTGATCTACTTGCATTGCATGCTTTTGAACTGCTAGGTTGGCAGAGGCTAGGGCTGACAGTCGGGAGCTCACTCCAACTCACGGCTTTAAATTGCCAACCTTCCAGTCAGCAGATTTCCTGCAGCAAGCAGTTTTACCCGCTGTTCTCCCGTGGCGCCTAAACCTATTATCAGATAATCTTATATTTGAAGAGCCTCCATCCTTGGATAGAAAACTGTTCAGTCTCAGACAACTGCTTAGAAACGCAACTTGGAATACCAGGGAACTTGGTCAACTAATCAAAGGAGATAACAATGTATACATTCATGTTGGCTCAGTATTAATGGAACTAAACACAGTGAGATTGGACTAGTGTGGTCCCTACTGCATTGACAAATCTGGAAAACTAAGAAGAGGTTCATAGAGCCTGGCAAGGACTTTAAGAAGAACCTGAAGGAAAGGCAGCAAAAAACTGCCAGAAAACACATGGGATCTCTGCATTTCTCATTGCCCCTGCTCTTCCCCAAGTGGTACAGCCCATGCCTTTGGCTACATCTCTTTGCAAGTGTGTATCTGTGAGTGAAACACCACTATTCCCTTGATACTCACTATAGAGGTCAGTCTCATCCAGAATCTCTGATTTGATGATCTCTTCAATCACATCCTCAAGGGTGACAATCCCCATCACTTCGTAGAAGGGATCTCCTTCCCCTTCATTGTTTACTCGCTGCACAATTGCCAGGTGTGATTTCCCTGCAAGATAGGAAAAAAGATTAGCAGTCCCTCTACTGTGCACCCAGCACTCCAAACAAAGATGGAAGCAAAATACTTGAGTGCTTTCAGTTTCAGAGATTATAAGGAAATGCTGCCTCTTCAAATCCGAATGTAAAACCAGTATGTTTGTAGTAAGGTACGAGAGCTCCCAGTCTAAGCAAGGTGGTTTACAATAATTTAAAAATGGAACAGATGAAAACTACTAGAATTTGCTTGTTGATATGGATAATGCAGCTCCCTGTATTCTGCCCCATAAGGTTGAGACTATGGGTCTCATCATTGGCACTGCTGATAAGATTTCCTAGATCTAAGGATGCTTATGGAAGAGCCACTCTTTATTATTACATATTTCAAAAATATGTATATCAAAAGAGCACCTTAGCATTTCTTCTAAATTATCTGTTTCCAATCATCTTAAGTTCTATTACTGGCACTTCAATGATCTTTGGCTTGGAAAAGAAAATGAAAATCCTGGACTTGGTTTTACCCGTCTACATAGCTGTCTGTGCCATGACATTACACTTAAATATTATGGGACAATATTGGCAGAAACGCAGCTCCCCAAATGGATCTTAATGAAACTGAGAATAATATGCACTACAGAGAAGAAAGCAAGCTGAACATGACTAAGCAAGATTTGACTGAACTGCATGAATAGCAATCATGAAGGCAAGCTGGCGGATGCAATGCTCAGCACTCACTAAATTTCAGCTTATAGACGATGACTAACATTGAATTCTAACATCTCACTGTAGGTGAATGTGAAACATAATGCACAGATACATATCAATGGCTCTTAGCCCTGGCTGTCTGCTATTATATACAAATGCAGTTTATTCTTTTTGTCATAATTCTAATGTTTTGTAGTGTAAACATGCCAGCATTCAAAACTATGAGAGCTAAAATTCTATTAATATGCTATAATTGTGTAGTATGAAAGAGAACTGGAGTTTCAAGAGAAAGAGAACAACCTTTTCACCCACATTATCTGGTTGCATTATTTCAGCTGTTGCAATGTTAGCACTCACTATCACAAGGTTCACAATAAAATTGTGAAAGCCGGTGACCCTGAACCACATCAATGAGTCTTAATGATTTCCATATGGCCATAGCAAAGCTAAGCTGCGTCAGGGGAGCCTGTAGTGCACACCTGGAGATTAAAGAAAGAAGCCAAATTCAAGACCCAACATATAATTCCCCTGCCTTTCAAGAGGGCAGCTGCTTTAGATTGTGTGCATCTGGCACATCCAGCTGCAACTCAGGCCAAACGATTCCAGCATCACTCAGGGATGCCTGCAGATAAAGAGAATCGCCGCTGGGTATCATTGTAAATGTGGCATTACTTTGGTCCAGTGTGCTTGCATATTCCCAAGAGAATTATTAAAGTATTTATGTAATTGAGAATGTGACTCTCTCCCAGCACAAAACCTCAGGGGCTTTCATAATGCTCTCCTGGGAAATCTGAAAAGAGAGTTTACCAAAAAAGTGAACTGGGTCTCTGGGCTGACTTCAGAGAGGCACTCTACACTTTGAAAAGATATATCTGGAAAGGACAAAGGTGTGCAGCTGCATAAGGGGTGGGGAACTGCATCAGGAATAGAAGCCAATGTTCCCTGATGCAGTCCTCAAAATGTTGACATTTTGATTATGTTACCATTTTTTATTATGTTACCAATTAAGAAATAAAGTGAAGTGAAAAAATTTGAGTGGAAACTACCAAGGAAAACATGTGTTTTGGGATAGTACAGGATTCTTGGATACTTGGGGAGCATTTTGCATGTTTTCACATGCTTGATGGTTTTATGCCTCATTCTAGAGCAAAGTTTGCTTGGAAATTGGGCTATTTTTTATAAACAGATTTTGTGTGTCTTCAAGGGATTGGTGGGGGTTCATGGCCCACAAAACTGAAGTTCAGGTGTTGGACTTCTGTTTTGAGCCACACTATTTGCACTCCTGATATAAGGCAACTAGTATAACCCATGACTCGTTTTCTGGGATAGCAGGGGCTCTATCAATAACTGCAGCACTGTCAAGGCGCAACAATTTGTCACAATGTAAAAGTTTGCACAAAACCAAGATACAGTTTTGCTACTTATGTACTCAGCACCCAACCTCCATGATGTTCTTGTCAGAATACATGCCCACCCTACGCATTAAACTGGATGCTATCCATGTTTTTGTCGTACTCCCAGAGCAGGAACACCTCTGACCTTAAACACCACATCAGCTTGGTAAAATCAGCAAGCAGTAAAATGGTAAAAACAGTATAGTCTCAAAGAATAGTCAATGAGTTTCAAAGCACAAGGTAAAATACAAGATTCAATGGCACAAAATCCATAGAACATGGTTGCATGAAAAATCCATTACATAGATCAGGAGCCTGGCAAATCTTGGTACATGAAAATGGAACACTTCAAAATAAGACCATCAGGAAATTCCAACCTTGGCAAGACTGAGGCAATTCTTTCTCTTGAACCAATATAAAGCTTTTCCTGATCCCAGAACTGAAAGGAAAGCATTTCTCTTGCCTTTACAACCAGATAAGGGTTTTGTATCTCTTTTCCTGCAGATGTATTGACCTTGGCTCCTCCTGAGAACTTTGGCTCCATTTACAAAAAATCTGTTTTCTATCTTCACTCTAATTAACTTCTGTACCTGGCAATTCATCTTCAGAAGACAATTTCTCAGAAAAAGACTGTTGAGGACCTCTCCCAGGAATGTGACCTTGTGATCTTCATGAGACACCTCGGGCCTCTTGTCTGTGCTTAACTCAGGCCCAGGCAAACCCTCATCCCCACTGCCAACAGACTCAGGCCCAGAAAATACTTCATCCTCAATCTCATCAGGAACATCAGACATAATCACACCAGCTGAACTACAACAGTTTTCCCCTAACAGGACACTTGACATAATTTCAACTACAACTCCCATCCTCTCCAGTCAGCAGGGCCAACTGCTAGTCATAATGAAAATTGTATTTTAAATAATTTAGCTCACCATAACCTAAATCATATTGTAAGTGCTGATTAGCACAGATCAATCCAATCAATGGAATATACCTACATCTTTTATCACAATTCAACAACTGATTGAATGTGTCTATGCTAGTTGCAGCTGCCTGACAGGATGGAAACTCATCTTTGTTCTTACCAAGGCAGAAGATTGAAAAAGTTCACTAGCCAACAGCTAACCTCACCTCCTACTCAGTTTCTCAAGTAGCTCCTGATACACACACACACACAAACCCTTTTACTCTACCGATCACATCAACATATGACCAAATCCTCAAGGGATATTATGTCAATGACTGCTGTACAAACAATCAACAGAAATTGCTCACTTTCATCCTTAAAATCTATTCCCAAAAAGGTTTGTGGACTTTTCTGTCCAAAATTTAAAACTACGACTGTAGGTTGCATCACTACCATGTTTTGCATCTGCATTCCTGTTCCCTGTTTCATATCTATAATAATATAATAACAATAAAACTTTATTTATACCCCGCCACCATCTCCCCAAGGGACTTGGAGCAGCTTACATGAGGCCAAGCCCAAGAACACATCAAAAACAACAAGCAATAATAAAATAACAAGCAATAAACAAAATAAACAGTACAATTAATATAACTCATAAGCAGACAATAACACACAAGAATTTAAAAACCTATGGCTGGGCCAAATGTAATAGTTAAAACTTTAAAAATAAATGCTGGACATGAACAGAGGATGTATCTATTTGGAAGGTTTTAAATCAAAAGTAAAGAGCAACCCAACGGGTAATTAAAGTGCTTCTCAGAGTATTTCCTTTATTCAGGGAAGGCACACTGGAACAGCCACATTTTCAGGTTCCTCCTAAAGACTACCAATGTGGGGGCTTGTCTGATATCCTTGGGGAGTGAGTTCCAGAATCGAGGGGCAACCATGGAGAAGGCCCTCTCCCTCATCCCCACCAATCGCGCCTGCGAGGGAGATGGGAGCGAGAGCAGGGCCTCCCCAGAGATCGTGTGGGTTTGTACACAGAAAAGCGATCACGCAGGTAGGTGGGTCCCAAACCATTCAGGGCATACACCTTCAACAAAAATGTTTAGGACAATATGATTGGCCCACAGTATCCATGGATTTTGAACCCACAAATTCAGCCACTTATGACTTGACAATATTTTTTAAAATCATATTTTATATAAGGGATGCCCTTTTATTATGCCACTAGCTGTGCCCTGCCACGCGTTGCTGTGGCCTATAGTAAAACTTATCAAAGTTGAGGTAGATATCTGGATTATTATGAAAGAGAGGTACCTACCTATTCCTTCCCCCTTTTCCTCCCCCTTTCTCTCCTTTCTTCCTTCTCTACCTCTTTCTTTCTTTCCTTCTTTCACTACTTGGTTTCATCCTTCTCTCTTTCCTTCATTCCCTCCCCTTTCTTCCTTTGCCTTTCTTCCCTCCCTGTTTGCTTCCTTCTTTCACTTTTTATTTCCTTTTATTTCACCACCATCATAACAATAACAATAATGCAATGCATTGCCTCTGGGACCTGACACCTCTCCCATTCCCCCTAAAAGGGTCTCATAGGAATAATAGCATAATAATAATAGAAATAACAACCTTTACCCGCCACGCGTTGCTGTGGCCAACCTTCCCTCTTTCTCTCCTTCTTTCCCTCCTTCCTTCCATCTTTCCTTCTCCTCTTCCTTCTCTATCTCTTTCCTTCCTTCCCCCTTTTTCTTTCTCTTCTGGTCTCTTTTCTTCCTTCTCTCTTTCCTTCTTTCCTTCCCTCCCTCTTTCTCTACATCTTCCCCCTTCCTTCACTCCCTCTTTCCTTCCTTCATTCCCTTTTTCTTTCTCTTTCTTTCCTTCCCCCTTTTTCTTTCTCTTCTGGTCTCTTTTCTTCCTTCTCTTTTTCCTTCTTTCCTTCCCTCCCTCTTTCTCTACATCTTCCCCCTTCCTTCACTCCCTCTTTCCTTCCTTCATTCCCTTTTTTCT